TGTCTCTCTCTGGTGAGTACATGTGCCCTATAGCAAATTTAAAAATAATACTGGTGAGACCAGCAGATCACATAATGGTTACATCACTGGACTTCCACATGGCCGACTGAAATTTGAGTCCTGGAGCTGGTGACTTAAAACTCAGCCAGGTGTGCGTGGTTTGTGCCCAAAATCTTGAGAGGTGAACGGAGGAGAAGAGATTGCGACATGGCTGCCTAGGGGGCAATTCTTAATTTCTGTCTCTCTCTTTCTCTTCAGATAGTACAATACACAGCAGAAATCTCTAAAAAAAAAAAAAAAAGAGTCATAAGTAAACTTAAAAATTGAGAGATTTTTGCTATAGGCTGTGTGCATTTGCTGGAGAGACATAGAGACAGAAAGCAAGAAATCACTCCTTGGGGGGATGGCCACGCCACATTCCCTTCTCCAGGAGTCTCTTTTTGGGATTTTGGGCACACACGCACACACACCCCGTGTGAGTTTTAAGTCACCAGGTCTGGAACTCAAACCACAGTTGAGTTCGTGGGAGTCCAGGGATATAACCATTAAGCATCTGCTAGTCCCTAAATAATTCTTTTTTTAACAATTTAAAATATAAAATAATTTTATAATTTAAAAATTATATAGGGGGCTGGTAGATGGCATGGTGGTTAAAAGTGCTGGGTTCCCACGTGTTTGACCACAGTTCAAATCCCAGACCTGGCAGCTTGCTTTCTCGCTTTCCCTTTCTCTCTCTCTCTCTCTGTCTGGTCAAATTAAAAATAACAACAAATAGAATTAAATAAATAAATAATTCTTAAAAAAAGAAAAAATATATATATAAAACGTATATATGTGTGTGTATGTATACACACACACACACACACAGTATATGCAAAGTCTTGGAGGCCAGGGCCAGCCAGTGGTGTGGTGGTTAAAGCAGCTGGATCTCACATGGCCAACTGCACAGTTCTAATCCTGGACCTGGCAGCTTGAGAAGCTCCCCAGGCACATGTGTGTGCGTGCCCAAAATCCTGAAAGGAAGAATGGAAAAAGAATTGTGGCATAACCATGCCCCAAGGGGGGGGTGCTTTCTTGCTTTCCTTCTCTCTTTCTCTCTCTCTCTTCTCTTTGGTAAGTACATGTGTCCTGTACTTACCAAAGACTTGGAGGCCAGACAATTCAAGATGTATTCCAGAGAGTGAGGATATTTAGTATAGCATTTGTGGTTGGGAAGAGCCAAGAAAATAGTCTGGGAGGGTCAGCGGGTGGTGTGGTGGTTAAAGGCGTTGAACTCCCACATGGCTGACTGGAGTTCAAGTCCTGGACCTAGTGGCTTGCTTTCCTACTTTCTCTCTCTCCCTCACTCTGCCTCTCACTGGTCAAATTAAAATGAATAAATAAATAAATAAAGTTAAGTAAAGTAATTCTTTAAAAAAAAGAAAAAGAGGTTGGGAGCAGCTTGAATGAGGGAGTGACATGGTCAAATTTACTAGTTAGTTATTATAATTGCCAAAGGTACTGTGGACATCAGAGAGGAACAGAGAAACGAAGGAGGGAGGGAGAAAGTACCCCCATGGGGCAGGTCACACTGCAATCTCTTCTCCATTTCTCCATCCTGTTGCGATTCTGAGCACACACACACGTACCTGATGTATTTTTCTTTTCTTTAAGTATTTATTTTATTCCATTTGTTATTACTCTTTTTTCAATTTCACCAGAGAGAGACAGAAAGGGAAGAGAAAGGGAAAGCAAGAAAGTAAACCACCAGGTCTGGGACTTGAACCATGATTGACCTTGTGGGAATCCAGCACCTTTAACCACCATGCCACCTGCCGGCCCCACCTGATGTGCTTTTCAAGTCCAGGACTGAACTTGAACTGCAGTCAACCATGTGGGATACTGTTTTCCTTAACCATTATACTATGGAGCCAGCATAGATTTATACACACACACACACACACACGTGTATTTCATTTTGCTGACTTCATAGAAAAATCGGAATTAAAACAGCTAGCAGAGGGGCTGGCAGGTGGCGTGGTGGTTAAGGGCACTGGACTCCCACATGGGTGACCACAGTTCGAGTCCCGGACCTGGTGGCTTGCTTTCTCTCTCTCTCTCTCGCCAAATTAAAATAAATAAGCAAATAAAATAAATAAAGTTAATTCTTTAAAAAAAAAACAAACTGCTAGCAGAGAAAATAACTGAATTATATATATTCATATAATTATATATATACATGTATATATATAATTATATATACACATATACAATACATAATTATATATACATGCATATATAATATATATACATATATATGTGTGTATTTAAAATATTTAATTATTTAATTCCATTTGTCATTATTATTATCAATATTATTTTAATTTGACCAGAGAGAGAGAAAGGGAAAGCGAGAAATTAAAGAATTATTTATTTCGGGACCAGCAGTTGGCATAAAATGGCTATGTTGCTGGATTCTCATGTAGTCAGCTGTGGTTCAAGTCCCGGACCCGATGGCTTAAACTCATGCCTGGCGCATGTGTGTGCATGCCCAAAATCCTGAGAGAATAGAGGAGAAGGGATTGTAGCATGGCCATCTCCCCTGGGGGGGTGATTTCTCGTTTTCTGTCTTTCTGTCTTTCTGGCGAGCACATATAGCCTATAACAAAAACTTCTCCAAAAAAGAATTATTTATTTTATTTTATTATTACTTTCTAATTTGCTATAGGGCATGTGCACTCAGCAGAGCAAGGCAGAGAGAGAGGGACAGTGAGAAAGCTAAGCCTCCAGGTCCAGGAATCAAACCATGCTTGGCTGCTATTTGGGAGTCCAACACCTTTACCATCACGCCACCTGCTGGCCCCAATTTCTTGCTTTCTGTCTCTTTGTCTCTCTCTGTCTCTCAGACGACTTCATGTACTCTATACCAAAAAAAAAAAAAAATTCTCAAAAAAAAAAAAAAGAATACATAAATAAAGTGGGGATGACTTGCTTCACCTGGCAGTTGTAATGACCTAACAATTTACCTAAGTGGTTACTGGTTAAAATAACTACTAGGTTCGGTATTATTCTGTGAACTTGTTTTAGCCAGAGATCATTTAGTTGCAGATAACAGAAATCCACTTACATGAAAAAAAGAGAAATTTATTTATACAGATACAAGAATATTTCTTCCAGGGAACCAGCTGTTAGCGTAATGGCTATGTCGCTGGACTCCCACGTAGTCGACAGCGGTTCGTGTCCCGGACCCGGTGGCTTAAAATTCCCGCTGGGTGCGTGTGCGTATGTGCCCAAGATCCCGAGAGGAAAATGGAGGAGAAGGGATTGTGGCGTGACCATCCCCCCGGGGGGTGATTTCTCACTTTCTGTCTCTCTGTTTCTCTCTGTCTGTCTGGCGAGCGCACGCGCCCTATAGCGAAAATCTCTCCGAAAAAAAAGAAAAAAAAAAAAGAATATTTCTTCCACTCCGAGGGCAGAAAGGGCAACCTAGCACCATAAGGGAGAGGAAGCAGTGATTCTGATTGGTCCATTTTGGGCCAAGTGGCTACCTCCCACCCGGTCAGCTAATGCTAGAAAGTCAAGGTGTCATAGTACAAATGGAATCTGCCCTTGTGGTTGGGAGGATGGAGACAGTCTCTATAGAAGGCTTATAGATTAGGCAGACAGCTCTCAACGTGTCTACTGTAGGAGTTGTTGGAGTTTGGCCACTTCCCTTTTTGTGATATGATGATTGTTCACTTATGCTTTTGCCCCTCTTTGTCTTCACCACTTTCCCAAATTTGCCAGTCAGTTTGCAGCCCCAATCTAGGAATGGGTTGTAATGTTTTCTAGGAACACACCAGTGGGATTCAGCCACCGGGGAGGGCCTCTTGCCCCGGTATGAGCATGCCAGCTTTGTTCCGTCCTGTACACCTGACAGCATCTGGGTGTTTGGAGGTGCTGACCAGTCAGGAAATCGAAATTGTCTTCAATTCCTAAACCCTGGTAAGTAGCCAAAGGTTTAATTTCATATATATTTATGTAAATAAATAAATAAGTCCAATTCATACCCAGTACATTCAGGCTGTACTGATTAACCCATTTCATTTTTCCAACCTCATAGAAAAATAGGAATTAAAACTTTTAGAAGAGTCTTCAAATGACTTAATTATATATATATA